AAGGCAAACTATCTCCATTTCCAGTTTGGATTTTCACACTTTCAGTACCGTATTGAGTAGTCAGCAAGTGTTTGCAGACAAGTCAGCGTCTTCCATGCAACATCCTGGTGACTGCAGCAATTTGCAAGCGATCAAAGCAATCACAAGGAGGTCCTTGGTACAGAATGGTATACCTCTTTGAGACCAATTTCTTCTAGCGACAGCCAGCTACCACCTGTGGTTACCAGAGGTCACTGACCAGGGCTCATCCACACAATTTCATAGCGACTGCCAAAAAATGCTCACAACTAGTTGGGGAATGCTAATTTTCTAGGCTTGAAACTGAGGTTTAAATACTACCGTCTCTAAAAAGTAGGTCTAAAGCTTCATGTAGCATTCCTCTGCATCACATTGTGTCATGTATCAGTTAAACTGTACCTGTTTTGGTCATCTTCCATATCTACATCAGGGACTGAAACACATTTTGAATCCCTAGAAAGAAAAACAGCAGTGTCTGTATTAAAAACAAATATTAGTGTGGGTCTTAAGATTTAGATTTTCCTGAAGCAAGCACTCCCATACGTACTGGTTGTCCACGCTGCCCTTGCGCTTTCGGGTTAACTCCACGCTCAGGGACATACCAGCAGCTGAGGGTGGGGTCATCAGGCTGGGCAGAGACACAGAAGTACTTTGTTCTTCCTCAACCAGCACATCATCTGAAATGCAACACACGGAGAAGTGTACCTGGTCATAAAACATGAGGAATTGATATAATTTTCAAATACAATATAAGAGACCACGCACTACTGCAACAGATTGCTCCACCTGTTTATGCTGAGCTAATATATAATAAAGATGCCAAATATATGCATATGCAATGGCGCTAGCATGGCTGGCAGCCTTAACCCAATTTCCTTCGGGATGAATAAAGTATGATCAATCAATCAATCAATCAATCAATCAATCAATCAATACTACCTTCTGGCTTTAAAAACAATTTTAAATACTTGATACACAAGTTACACATACCGATACATTGTGTGATTTAATAGGGACATAATAACTGGTTCTCAAACTGTCAGGTGGGCCCAGTGCTATGGAAGTGGGAGTTAGGTTTTGTAATGTTGATTGTCATTTATGCTTAGAAATATCTACTTATATATGCTTAGAGGTGTATAATTAATTGTGTAGTGATAGGATGTGTGATCTTTAGCAGGCTGCAAAGGC